TTATTGATTTATTTTCAATACACCTACTTCGTCACTTCTGGTATATGAGGGGATGGTTGTCCTAGTGGTACAACTAAACCTATTCTTGGGATTGGTAGGTCGAGATAAATTCTTTGTGGATCCGCCAATAAATAAATTTTAATCTGCCCATGCGATGGTCCAAATAGCGTCGTTAGACTCGAGAATGTTAAAGCTTACACTTTATCACGATATCAACACTTAAAACCATGTGAATATCATTTAGTCTTCTTATGTCCTTTTCTTCTCCTCCGAACCTCCGTCGTCCTCTCGGAGTGTTGTGTCTTCCTCTCTTTCTGTTTCTTCTTCCTCCCATTTTTCCATTCCATTACAAGGATCCTAAATTCGTTAACTAGTTTCCTGAATTCATCCCTATTTAAACAATATTCGTTTGTTATAGCTAGTTTTGTCGTTTCGTCCTAAATTTACTCTAGACCTTTATTTCTTGAGGCCTAACATTTATAAAAATTTGTTTCAGTCTATTTTTCATCCATCCAGATCATATGTCCGTAACAGCTCAAGCTTCTTTTTCTCACCAACATTTCTATGTCCTCTCTCCTTTTATACGATTCTCGATTATCCTTGGGGTAACTTTTGGTCAGAACCTCTCTTGGAACAACCATATTTTCCATATTACCAAAAATCCATAATTATCCTTATACTATTCATAAGATTCCATAATTTTATTCCTTAAAACCAGACTGGCCCTTGAAACCTCTTTTATTTTTTACCCATATCAACTATTACTTGGTGATGGAGGACTGTCTGCCAGGCTGGAAATGAGTCTGAAGGAACTCATGAATTGCATTTTAAAATTCATCTTTGGGATCAATACGATACCTTGGACTTCACTTGGACAAACGTCTCACTTGGAATCCTCATACCAGACTGAAACGACAAGAAACCGCTCGACGATTCCGACTACTCCAACACTTACTAGACAAACGCTCTAAGCTCCCAGTTAATTACAAAAGACTTATATACATGACTACAATAAGACCTATTTGGACTTACGTAGTTGAGCTTTGGGGCTCCACTAAGCCATCGAATTCCTCTCGTATCCAATCCTTACAATCCAAAATCCTTCGGAAAATCCTCAATGCTCCTTACTTTGTCACCAATAAAATAATCCATAATGACCTTAATGTTCCTTATGTTTCCGATTTGGCCCAATCCAGATACCAATCCTTCCATAATAAACTTCAGAACCATCCGAATCCTCTCGTCTCTAACCTTGCTTCCTCTTCTATTCCTGATAACCCTCCGAGGCGTCTGAAAAGAAGATGGCCTCGAGATCTCTTATTGTAAATACATTTTGTTTTTAGAGTGCTACCAGTGGGTAGTTTCTCAACAAGTCATTTCATGTTATTATTTTCTGTTATCAAATTTACTTAATGTATTTAATTTTTTAATACAGTTGTAAATATCATGAATAAATAAAAAAAAAAAAAAAATCTTTGGGATCCCATATTATTCTCATGTTTCCTGCTCATACACCAAGTTAAAGTGGCTGTATCATACTTTCTGACAGCAATTCCTTCTTTGTGGTTTCCTTCTCCAAGTCCTCGGAACCAAAATCCTGCCTACTTCCCTACATCCCTACATCGTTGCGTAACATTTGTAATTGGTGCCCCGAGATACTCCCATGTCTCTCACCACTACGCTGAGTTAAAGTGACTCTTCCCCTACATTCGAAGACAATATTTCCTAGGTACGTTCCTCTATCAAATCACCAACAATAATCGTCCTTGTTACGCCTATAACCTTCTCCAATTCAAGTCCTCAGTCCACTCCCTTTTCACAAGATCTCGACCTTCCGACCTTTACATTCCTTCTCACAGATCTGCGTCGTTCCAAAACTCGTTTATTGCTCGCTCAGTTAATTTCTGGAATTCGCTTCCTATCAAAATTCGGCATTCTCCCTCCATATTTCTTACTTATTACTTATCTACATTTAAAACCCTCCTATATTGCTATCCCAAAACAGTCAGATACCCCCCGCTAACCTTTTATGTAAATTTACATATTATTCAAAATGATTCACATAATGATATATTTACATATAATTCATCACTTAAATATCAGATTCGTTTTCTTTTTTTTTTTTTCTGAAGAACACAAAGTTTATTGGTAAGAAGAATGTAATGTATTTTTTATTTATTTATTTTTGAAATGTATATTTAAATTTTAACACTGTACCTAGTTTTAAATGTCTTGGCATGGATTCAAATGCTTTTTATATAGATTTTTTTTATTTTGTACATAGTATGTTTAACTAATATTTTCTTTACATTTTCCTCTTTATTTTTACTTTTTATGTTTGTTTTTACTTAGGCTAGATATAATACTTTAATTTTGTACTTTTTTGTTATTCTAAAGGGACTTCGCCCCAGAGTAAAACTATCTTCTATTCTATTCTAACACTTTTTATCCTATGTTCCTCTATCCACTCTCTTAATACCAGACCTCTACCTTCACCAATCCTTCTTTCTTCAAACAAATCCTATTCCACTACCTACTTCATATTCAATCTTCTGCAACCATGTAAGAATTTATTGATTTCCTTATTAAAATCGCTTATTGACAGTTAATTGACAAATAGCTTTTTTTTTTACATTTGTTTTATTTCTACATGTCATATTAAATAAAATATTTCTTGATCATTGTCATTATTCTTATTGGACTTCAGTCCCAGAATAAAGTTATTTTTCATTCAGTCATTCATTATCCTGCAAAAATATTTTTTGTATTAATAAATAAATTTTTACTTATTTTGGGTAACCATACCAGTGATGGACATAGCTAAGGGAATTTTTGTCTTTTTTGGCTTATGCTCCAGTAATTATTATCTCTAGGACCTCCTTTTTCTATGATAAACTTTAGAATTGAAAAAATATTCTGTTATGCATGTATAATCTTCAAATAATTAAGTAATTACTTACTGTATTAATTAAGTAATTATTTAAATTTGTTTTATTCCACCTTAGCACTTTTGTTTTCCTTCAAATGTTAGCGTTTATTACTTATAAGAAGTTGTAATTTTTTTAATTTTTTTTTTATATGTTCTTCAGTAGGCTCATCTCAGATGTTATTAAAAAAACATTATATCACATTATAATAAAATAATAAAACATTATAGTAAAACAAGTATATCTTTAGTTCTTAATTTCACTATATAAATGTCAATTTATTATAAATGAATCTCTTATTATTATTAATATATTATTATACTGTTCATAATGTCTATACCCTTTGTTCGTTAATTGTGATTCATAGCTCATTCCAACTAAGCTACTGGATACACATTGTTCCAATACTTCATACCACCATCAACAATTATTTACTACAGTCAGAATATTTTAATAAGTACACAAAAAACGTTCATACTAGCTTTATTTATTCCTTGATTGGAATAAGATCATGTAAGAATATTCTTGAAATCATACTGAAGTCATTAAAATGTTCTTGTCAAGAAAGAAACATGGGCTTATTAGCCCTTATTGCAGTTAGAGCTTCAATTTAATATATAAAATAAGGAAGTCATTTTAATCACTCCAGATGGTTTTGTACAGAAATAAACATCATTATGTTTGCGTAAAGGTTATGTAAAAGTCATAGTAAGATAAAATTAAAATAAATTACTAATTAATTTTGACCTTCAATCTGACGATGAAATAAAGTTCTTACACAATATAATTTTAATCGATTTACTTTATTTTATAAAAGGAAGGAAATAATAAATAAATATCAATTTCGGTGGTAAAATTTATTGAATATTAAACCATTCCACACTATTCATCTACAAATTGACAAATGGGCACAGATAAAGATCACAATAATTTTACAAGTTAATAATCTAAAGGCACTACATTTGAGCAACAATTAAATAAAAAAAAAATTAAAATTAAAAAAATAGCATAATGAAGTCATGGCATAAAATCACTTACTATTTTAATTATAAACTTCTATTAATTAGAAATAACAGTTCTTAAATTATATCTATAACATATATTTATATATCTAACATATAAAAAATAAAAGTCTTTAAAACTTTGATATAAGTATAATATATATATTTATAAGTAACAAAACAGTAATTTATGGTTAGAATTTTTTTTTAAATTAAAAAAATAAATAAAAATTAATGGTAACAATAAATTAAAATTCAAATCTTAAAATGAATTTTCTAAAAAAATTATTATTACTTTTAATGACTACGCACTAGATTTAAATATCAACCGCCATTTAATGGCTCTTTTATTTTTTTCGTAACACCATAAAGAATTAATAGATTATATATTAAAAGAAAAAAAAATATGACTTTATGGAATAATGTAAATTTAATACACACCTAACATGAAACACTGATATAAAACCATCACCATAACTGCAATACTATTGTCTACTAAGGGAAAACATTTAATATCTATGTCTTGAATGATATAGAAAAAAAAATTAAATGGAATCATATATAACTTTGTTAATCAATGTACAAGATTGATTAGTTTACACTAAGAAAACTACGATACATTAAAGGTACAAGAATATATATTTACAATAATGTTAAACCGTTCATAGAACTTACATATGAATATATCATAGATATATGGGACAAACAATCACTGACTTTTCTGTCCACCTGTCTACTTATTCGGACTAGTACCATCCTTCGACATTGGCCATACTCGGTCAGCAAACTGCGGGTCGATGAATACTACATCAGACCCAAAAAGACATTTTTATAGTCGTCTAGAAATTACCTTCCAGATCGACTAATAATATACAACAAAAAAAAAATTGAGAAACAAAAAAAAAATTATATACAATTTGCCAAAAAATGGCATACACTTTTCTCACCCCTTTACTGATTCCGAAATTACATACTATAACTCCGGATCAACTTGGAGGTAAGTCGATTAACTATTTACAGAAGATGTCTCACCCTCTCTTCCAGTTTGCTTCTGCAATCCGGAGGAGAGGAACTACAGGCTGTAAGGGTGGCAGAACTGGTAGACCAAACGCTGAGACCGTTCGGTCTTCTTCATGATGCCCTTCTTGTAATATTGCCTGATGGACCTCGAGAGCTTGTCGTAGTTCATGGCCGGCCTGTTCTTCCTCTTGCCCCAGAGCCTGGCCACCCTGACCGAGTCCTCGATCTTGAAGACCCCGTTCTGTCGGTCGACCCAGCGGATACAGGAACCGTATACCGAAGGAGAGGCCAGCAACTCCTTCAGGAACTGCCAGAGGTGGATGTGCGAACCTCCGCCACCGCCACTGCGGCTAGAGCTACTCTTAGGCGAGTTCTGGCTGCTGTCGCCCATTTCTTCGTCCTCCTCATCTGGAAAAGACATTGAAGAAGACATCAGACAACAATATAAAATAAAATACTATGTTTAAAATTACGCTACGTAATGCATCTTTAACATTCTCGACCTAACTTCCAAGAGAAAGTACTTTAAAAGCGGTAGCTTTCCACACATTACCACAGAAAAGAATTTTTTTTTCAATTGATAGAATATTTATTATTTTATTGTCTTGATCTTTCATCCTAAACTGTTATTTTCCCCTGACTCTTTGTCCATAGTTGCAATTAAACAAAATAAACACCCATAATTTAGAGCGCTTTCTGAAGAAAATAGAAAATTACGGGTGTTTGTTTTGTTAAATCATACCAATGGACAAAGAGAGAGGAGAAAATAATAATTGAGAACGAAAGGTCATGTCAATAAACTAAATGCAATATTCTATCAATTAAATGTAATAAAAGTCTGAGTAGAATCCATACCTGACATTATAATATGGTCCAAATAAACTTGGACTATTCGACCAATTTATTGGATCTAAATTGCAATGCCATCATTATAAGCAAAATTGGGTGCTTACAAGAATTTTTAGTTTTTATTTATCGATAAAAATTAGGTTATAATAATAAAATTGCAAAAAAAAAACTGTCAAATTTGTCTGTTGCATATTTTAAAAATTATTAGCGTTAAAGAAAAATGGTGGAGAGTGGAGACACGGCTACGTCATTCCATTCCAGCTCTCTAACCTTAAAAATCTTCTTTATCTCTCGAATTCTATTGGAGCTCAAATTTACGTGATTGTTTCCTCATGCAAGTGACCATTTAAATACAAAACACGTTATATTATATATTTTTAAAATTTTAGAACTACCATTTCCGATAGTGGATCCAGAATTATTTTTTTTTTTTAAAAAGAGAAGGCTTCAGCCTGAATGCTTCTTTATTTTATATATCGAATCATCAATATCGATCTATCGATATTGATGATCGAACTATCGATACCATCGACATATCGACTTGAAATATCGATAGTCAATATTTTTATCAATATAAATATTGATTCCCTAGCACATATACGCATAAAAAAATGTGTTATTTTCCTCTTTAAATTAATTAATGGAAATATTAATTCTTCAACCTTTCTTAATAAAATCAGTTCTCTAGTTCCTGTCCATCTTCATGGCCATCCTCAGTTTTTTTCCAGAAATTTCCATTCAACTAATTATTCCTTCCATTCATAGATAGGTTACAGTGAAATGCTAATTCATTTACATTCTACATAGATTTCTTTGACAATTCGTGGTCTGGATTTGAGAAGGTTCTAACTAATAAATTTTGGCAAATTGAGTTGTCTGAATGAGAAGAGCCATCGATAGTCGATAGTCATATTATTAAAATATCGATATTTTCTCCTACTACGCACTACGTTCTATACGAAACAGTTAGGATGAGTATATATTTTTTTCTAACTATCAGATTCACATATAATTCCTTGAGCTATCTGAAAACGACAGTTTTAACTTTTATTTTTAAATTAAAATATCGGAGGGGCGATATTGATAGTTGATATTACCGAAGTCGGTACTATCGATAGTAAAATGTCTATTATCGATATTTCGATAATATCAACTTTCGATGGCCATTTCCAAACTGAAATAAAATACTAAATGTCGTGTTTTTTTTTTGGTTTTTTATGCTGTATAGACCGTACTAACCTATTGATAAAGTGACCAAAGCCATCTCATGGTTTCCAAAACACATTTCCACTTATGTTAAAAAAAAAAAAAAAAAAAAAGGATACTTTTACTAAGAATACTTAAAATCAGTAATAAAAATATAATTAGGTTGTGGATTTTTTTTTTTTTTTTTGAGGCTGGGAAATATTTTTTTATTTGAATAAACAGTTTAAACTACATTCTATTTACTTTCAATAACTAATTTTCGTTTATAAAATATCAGAATACTACGTGTTATTATTAAGTGGGTGTAAGATCAGCTAGTGCTAAGTGACGAAGTTAATTCTGGCCAGTCCGTTAGGATTCATTCCACTATTTTACGGCTTAGAGGTAGGAATAAAAGGAGTGGCGTTTACGACCAATTTTATACCTACTTAAACCGATAAGAGGCGATACCCGACAGCGGCGTCGTTCGGCAGTAAACCCAGAAAAGGAGACGTTTGTTGTCTTCTTGCCCGAGAGAACGTAAACGGAATAAATAAAAAAAGAATAATAAATAACAGAAAAGAAAAACAAACAAACAGAAAACAAATCAGAATAAAAAATAAAACTGTTTAGGAAGAGGGAGGTAGCCAAGGAGAGCAAGATCTGAAGGTTGCACTCCCACTGGCGTTCGGCATCGCTTCGTTCAAAAGATACTCGATTAACCTTTACCGCTAGCTAAGAGCAAATATAAACTAGTTAATGAAACAATTAACTTGTCTTGAGAGTAATTTAAATAAATTATCAACACCTGTGAGACCTTCGCAAGGTCGTTTTCGCAATCACAAGACAATCGCAATAACTCGTTATTCGCTGATTATGAGGGAAAGCTCTAACGATTATTATGGTTTCTATGAATCTCCAAGTAACTGCTAGTTTTTTTTTTTGTAACTTCAGTTGAGAGTTCAGGGGCGTATTTACTCAGTCATAATTGCGAGACAAATCTTTAACTTGGAACGAATTGTACCTTAAAGTTAAGATCACGTCTTTGTCGGCGGTATTAAATTATATAATTATTTGAAGATACCAAAACATAAAATCTTTTATCTCTAAAATAGCAGTAAATAACAATAATCAGTCAATGTTTCGCCAATGTAGGCATTTATAGGACAAAGAATATGTCCATCACACACTTTTTATAAATGTAGCTTCTCTTGTTTTTATTATTTTTGTATCAACTTTTACTCATCAGAAATATTATTATTTTAATTTTAAGCTTCTTTTATTTTTGTATTAATTATTTAGAACTTTATTCGATTCCTTGCCAATTTTTATCAATTTATCTAGACCAAGGAGAAATTTATATTTTCTTATGTTATAAATTAATTTTAACTGAATATTTATTTTTTTCATCTCAAAGTTTATTTTATGTTAGCATTGTTTTTTATATTTATAAACTTGACATTATGCTTAAAAAATGCTATATCCTATCCTCCATCCTTGATCATTTTTTTTTTCCAAAATCCTACATCCCAATCCTCCAGTCATGACTAATAACCTGAATTCCTGTCATATCAATGCACAATCCCTTACTGCACACTAGAATGAATTTCAGGAACATTTCCTTGATAATTTTTACCACATAATAGCAATATCCGAAACCTAGTTAAAACCTTTTATCCCTTACTCCCAGATTTCCCTACCCAATTATTCCTTCCTACTATTGTAATAGTATAGAAAAGTAAAATTGTAAATAGTTACTACTGTAAATATGTATATAAATTATTAGAGCGTTCTTCATTATTTTTATTTCATGTTTATTTTCAATTTTTTGTTTTTTATTTTTAACTGATCTAAATTAGTAAGTAACTTATAATTTTTTCTATTATTATTTTTTATTTTGACTATTTAATTACTGTATATATTTGTTTATGTATCTCTTAGGCTCCTTAGCCCATATTATTGTCTTTTTATATTATTCTAAAGGGACTCGTCCCAGAATAAATAAAGCATTATTATTATTATTCGCTTTTAAAACAGCTTATGATTTCATGGAGAGAAACTGTCTTTGGGAGATCATGAATAAGCCAATGGTTAACAGAAAATCGGTAAGATTGAGAGAGGCGTGTAGAATAATAATCCTAAATGTTGGATTCTGATAAATGGAGAAGTCGGATTCTGTATACTTCGAAGCTTGAAGTAGTTAGATGAACTCCGGCCGTTCCTGTTCAAGTTTTTCACCGAAATCTGAGAATCATGTCGCGTGAAAATGGAGATGAGGGAAGAATGAATCATAAAATCCTAGGATATGTTGCTATACATTGTTATCTGTGAATATAAATGAAAATTTAAATAATAGGAATATTTAGGATTTGTTAAATTATTACGAATCTACTTCTATGCCTATCTTGAGTTAATTTTTTTCTAGTTATCTGCATACAGTTCTATTGCATGTTTGTTGATTCTATCTAACCATCTGCTTTATGGCCTTCCACGTGGTCTTTTGCCTTCTAATGAAGCATTCATTGTTACATAGAGGCTTCCAGATGGATTGCTCCGAACTAAATGTCCGCCCATCTTAACCTCTGTGCCTTCATGTCATAAGATATCGATTGACATGTTTCTGTAAGCAGCTATTTATCGGTATTTCTTCTCCATGTGTTACTAATCTGATCCCAGACAGCTCCGGTTATTGTGCGTAGGATTTTTCTTTTCAAATCTTTCGATACTTACATATATTAGAACTAGTTTTATAATAGTATTGTACACACTTAATTAGAGATTTTTAAGATTTAAATATCTTTTTTAAATATTAGATTATTACTCAATTAAGAATATCAAAACTTATTAAATAAATTGGTAATTTAACAGTCGTGGTAAAGAATAAAGTTTTACAAATTGTGTTTGTTAAACAGACTATCATGATAGTATTATATACGAATAAATATGTTGAGGGTTCTCTCTGGTTTATAGGAGATTAAATTATTTACAGTAATGATGATTTTATTAGTTAAGTTGTTTATATTCATTGTTTCATTTTAATAATTATATACAAAATAATTTAATAATATGAAAAATAATTTATAAAGTCTAGTGAGAGCGCCAGTTAAGGGGCAAGTTGTGTTTCGAAATAAAAAGACCCCAGCGAGCTATGAGGTAAGCAAGATGACGCACTATGAGCTGTCTCTCCAGTTTGTAAATTATCTTTCTTTAAACCTCAACAACTTTTTTTTTATTTTTTATAAAATACACATAAACATAAATTTAAAAAAAATAAACAATACCCTTACTTTGACAGAGAAAAAAAAAATGAAACTGTTATAACGAAACAGTCTCATAAATGGCGAAGTGCTGTTCGAAGTCGCTTTCACACTGGC